TTGGGGTCCTAATGCCAAATTCGTGATCCTTAGCTGCTCAATGATTTTCTGGGCAAAGTTATGAGCGATGGTTTACCCAAGATGCGGCTAAGGCTCGCATTGAGCTTGCGGCGCCAAGGGCATGCAGATGTGGACGGGTGGTCGAGTGGATACCTGCGGAGACTATGGAGCAAGTGGTAAAGAGTTCGGACCACTTTTGCAGCCACAATCTTTGCAAGTTGTTTAAGGTTATATTAGAAGGTCCCTAAGGCAAGGAAAACCCTCATTGCAACTTAATTACATCAAATCTCGGAGATAATGGAAAAATCGTGCAAAGTTTGAATTGGGCAATGTTGGTAGATCAGTTGGATCAAAAACATGTAAAACAGGTACAATCAACATGGATACTTGATGGGAAGCTTATTCATCATTTGCAATTATGTTTTCGCCGCAGGTGGTAGTGGGGTAGCTAGCTAGAAAGTTCGGTCCATGCGAAGTTCTGCGCAAACCACTCGAAAGGAGCAAAGGCTTTAAGCAAGCTCAGAGCAATTGTTTGAATCACGTTATTGTGTTTTGAGCATTCTGTGATAAACTGCCACACGTGCTCATAAATAGTTTGATACTAAATATAAAAACACGTTGATCTGGCATCGTGAGAGTGCACCACCCTTCAAGGTCTTTAGCCACTATTCTCAGTCAACGAGGAAAAATTATTGGTTTCAGGAGTTCAATATGGTTGAAGTCATGGAAAAGTGGCGGAGACCAAAACGCGCGCACAAGCATGATCATTTTCTTTTGGTGCTCGACTTTTTGCGCCACTTCTTTCTAAATGTAAGCGACAGATAGATGAAGATGATAAGGTCGTCTTGTAATCACCGTTTAGGCCTGCGAACCACCTACGGAAATTCAACAGTACGCCTGTAGACAGAGCGGGAAGAAGGAGAAATTTGACCATCTTAAGGACCTCCCGAAAGGATTAGTCGATTTCTTAATAAGTGGGTCAATGTGTGTTTGAGTACATTACTTTCAATAACTGATTTAGGTTTCATCCTTGACGCCCTTGGCCTACACCGCGACCAACTTCTGCGGACGCCAGATGAGCATAAACGGAATCCAAATAAGTATGTATGTTCTCGAAAGACCTTCATGTGCACTAGAATTTAGGTGGTGGTTGGACTTAGCCGAAAATGACGACGCTTGCGAAAAATTATTCGACGTCCTCTCAGAGGAAAGAGTAGTATGGAGCGGTAAGGCGAGGATAGCAAATGGGAGAGCTTTGTGAGTTTTCTCATAAGGAAAGCGATACTTCTGAACTATATTTTTGCAGGGAAGACATCGGGAGGTATCATTTTGACCCTGATAGGTCCATGCTCCTTCCATCAAAGGTAATTCGTTTGTTTTATACGATCCTGGTAACAATAATTTTTTATTTTCAGAAAAAGCGCGTCATGGTCGAAGGCAGCAGTGTTACCAAAGAAGGCGTAACGATCCAGAAGACTGAAAACGTTGAAGATGAAGATGAAGTAGTCGTAAAAAATTAATGCTGTTGTCATTCTTAACCGTAGTTCTTTCGTAACCTTGTGTCGTGATTGCGGTGCTTTGATTCCTGTCTCATTTCGATGTTATTGTAAACGCTACTCGAGAAGATCATGTGGTATTTGCTAATAAATTCTATGACGTAAGACTGGGTTTATCAGCAGAAAAAAAACAAGCGTGGGAAACGGGACCCAACGTGACCAAGGACTCAAGGTAAGTCAAAAGGAAGGCGTGAGAGAGGGCTTAGAGGACGCAAAAAGCTGTCAGTAAGGGCGTAGGCCGCGTGCTCTGAACGCGATCGCGACATTTTGGTGTCTCGCGCAGGTCTCCCCATTTTGCCCCGATTTTGCCGCGCACTTTTGCCGCGACACAAAATCAGGTGTCCTGATTTTGCCGCGACACCGATTTCGCGAGTCGCCCACGCATTCAATGGCTACACATCGTTTTGCCCTGCGCGAGTCAACCGCGAGTGTCTGAGTTGGGAGGTCCTCAGACGAAGAAGACGAAGACCCTGCCGCCTGTAATTTTTGCTTTGGATAGCATTTACAATCAGGGAAAGCGCTCGTGAGGTCTCGCGCCGAACAGACAAGGACAGCAGTCCGAGCGCGCGCCAATTGGAGTTGCGCTTCTCCGGTTTAAGAGCCTTTTTCTCGGCCCAAGGGAAACATCATCCAGCCGGACCGCGCCTGGAGGTGGGTGGGGTGACGAGGAACCCCACCACCCCTATATCCCCCAGGACCCGAATCTGCGGGACACTGCCTTTGAGTAAGAAAGCTGCCTATGCCGAAACTATTATTTTTATACACAAAACAGCAAGATTTTAGACAAAATTATTGAACCGTAAAATGTGGTGTTCTATAGAGAGATTTCACAACTGTTGTCGGCGCCGTATTTGTTCCAGTTAACATGAGTTTTTCTTGAACCCTGCAAAGTTTTGCAAAGATTGACTACATGTTGGGTCCTCGACTAATGTCGCGTCACATCAATTGCAGTGACTACAGTCACTCGGCTGTTGTTTTCTCTTTCAAAGCGCTTAAGTGTAGAATGGAGCTCGGACATTTTTATTATATAAGAAGACAACTTTGAACAACATCGCGAGTTCCTTGAGTTCCTCCTCTTTTCCCCTGCTCTTCCTCCCCCTTCCCTCCCAACCAGGCCTCTTGAGCTGTTACTGACTTAAGCCTTAAGAGAGTCTTTGCAATACTTCGTTTACGCCGTTGCGCAAAATCGCATGTTGACGGTTTACTGAAGCCTTCTCGAATCAAACCTGGATTGTCAGCTAAATTCAAATATCATTCTCTTCTATATACCCTGTAGCATCAAAAATCCAGGTACTGGAGATAAGGCCAGTCGAGCATAGCGTGGCCGCTTTTAAAGCGTAAAAATTATGCTGAGGGAAGTGTCCCGAAATTTCTTTGCCACCTTGTGCCATTGCCCCTGATGCGCACTGCGCTTTCCAGACGGAGCTTTTCTGTTACAAAGCGTTTAGGAAAACAGAACATGGTATTCGACGGAAGAAGAGTTGCTTGAATCTTTGCAGTCAGGGAAGCTGTGAGCAGCGATTTTTGAAATCTAACAACTGAGCTTTTGTTCAAGAGATTACGGTATTTCTTTTGAATCATTGGTAAAGAGAAGACTTTCCTATGTAGTTCATACAAATCAGCAAGCAACCTATGAGGCGAAGCTATTCACAGGGTAAGTTTGAGCAGCTTTATTCTTTTTGGTAGCAACCACGACTAAATAGTCATCATAAGTTCTCAATTATTATCTCTTCCTTGTCAGGGAAAGGGAGTATAATATGACCCACATTACCTATAGTATGACACGAGCAGAAGACCTTGATTATAGCGTGGCTTTATTACAAGTATGTCTTTCAATCGCTGCAAACAACAAGGTAGGACACTATGTGAGTTATTTCAGCATTACTTCATGCTATGATCTATTGCAGACTTTCGATACCGGTTTTGAATATGTTGTTGTGCCCGTCGCTATCATAGAATGCCCTACTACAATGCTTGCTGTCGGTTTTTTGCAGCGTGGTAAATTTTGTTCATTTCTAGACATTTGTGCCAAACTCCTACAACGATATGACACGGTTGCATCACATCTCTCAAATGTAATGGCGAGCTATGATACGATCCGCACGTTCTTTTTCCTGTTAACTTATCAGCACCGTAACACCATAATCTGCAAAGTAAGCATCCTTCACCTGCTGCGCTTTACCTAAGACCAGCGTAAACGTCGGGCACGCCGTACTTTTATACTGTTCAGTCATCAATATTTTGGATTTCACGATTCTTCTAACAGTGCACAGGAAGCTTCTTTTTTTAGAATGCTGTGCTCAGTGATTGAACAATTAACCCAATTCAGGGGCGGTATGCATCAATCTCCCGTTTTGAAAGCGGGCGATCATTTTCAACAGAAAATGATTGCCCGGCCGGGTTGGCCACCCAACTCGTAATGTATGAACTTTTGAAAATGATCGCCCGCTTTCAAAACGGGAGATTGATGCATACCGCCCCAGGTCAGCAATATGTCAGTTCTAAGAGCAAACAAAACAAAAAATAATAGCACAGCGGCATAATTGCATTTGAGATCTGAAATATATCAATGTTTTGACATGAACTTGCAGAATTTGCCTTGCGGTATATGCATCTTTTGATTTTTTAAGTATCTCTGAAACAGTGCTGAGCTAGTGAGGCTGCATAAGAAAAGGTCCTGAATGTTGTTTTTCTCGTACAGGTTTTTGCAATCTGCTATGCGGTTTTTGGGCAAGCAAGCGGGCACTGAATAATTCGCTGTTTTTTTGCGGTTCGCTTGCAGTTTGATAGATAGCCAATTTTTAGACGAATGCTTGGAGAACAATCGCGAATTTTCTATAGATTAGTTGCGGCACGGCCGGATTTTCGCGGACTTTCCGCGGAAATATGCAAAATTGTTGAGGGCTGCACGGTCCTTTGTAAAAGACCGCACTGCTCAGGGGTACCTTCCGCTGAATGAAGGTACCCCAAACTCGGGTAATTAACCCATCGATGAACCTCTGCCACATAAAGTCTCGCCTTTTCTTGGCGTATGCCCGAACCTGCTTAGAAAGAGTTCGAGCGCCTGCTGAAAGTTTGACCAGCGCTCGATGAAAGAGATTATTTGACGAGCGCTTGCAGAAAAATGTAATGCTGCCCGCTTGCAGAACACGGAAGTGCCGCTCGCTGACGGTTTGGCTACTCCCCACAATTTTGCCAACCGCTTGCAGAAAATCGGGAGTTTGCAGACCGCTGCTCCCGGCGATTATCTGAGTGAGAGGATGGCGCACACAACCTTTCCTTCAGTCGGTAGCTGAAAAATGCTGCCTACAGCCTCAGCGATGATCTGTAGGTTTACAAATGACTTTCACGCAATAATATGGGAAGGCATATTTTGTTTTTTCTCTTTGTCGATGGCACTTGAGAGGATGGCACTCAGACATTTCCCCTCCAGTTGGCAGCTGGATGCTTCTACTTACCGCTTTTTGCACTGGTAACTTTTCAAAATAATTTCCGAAAATAGATTGACTTACAAATAATTTCCGCGTAAAAGCAGCAAAACTTCTCCTCCTTTTTTGAAAGCACTGAGATAGCTGAGCCACAAAGCCTTCTCCTCAGTTGGCAACGGAATACTACTGCTTCTCCCCCCCCCCCCCCTACAAAGAACTGTAATTTTTCTGCTCATTGCAAAAAAGATTGACATACAATTTAACTTTACACAACAATGCTGGAGAAAGCACAAAATGCGAACTTCAAAAATATAGAAAACTGAAATTTCAAATTTTGGGCGAAGGACAACAAAAAGAGTAAAGAAGCAAAGACATCTTGACAGCAATAACAAGACGTATTGACCCTACTCGGACCCTGTTTTCCTTTCTACCAGATGTAGAGGTATTGATGGGTAAGCAGAAACTTGGTCTTAAGGCAGGTATACACTAAGGCCCGTATGCACGTACATCCCCGCTAGGGAGGGGAGGGGATCTGAGAGGGGATGCGTCATATCTCGCTACTTTACGTATCTTTCTTCATCCTTTTCTATCTTGCTTATGAAGATTCTCATACCCTACTATCTGCGCATAATGGATGCCAGGTTACTGGCATAAGTGATTAGATTTGTACTATTTTGTGTGATCCCCTGGGGATCCCCAGGGGATCATTTCTCATTTTCAAAGTCATTTATCTTCTTGAGAAATCAATAAAAACGCCGCAAAATTGTAGTGAGGATATACTACGGCAGTGCTAAGCATGTTTAAAGTGAAAAGAAGTGAAATCTCAGGATATCGAAATCTTCGGTAATCCCTGGCTCAAAAGCTAGGGATCATCGAAAAATTCACAATCTTCAGATCCCATTTTTTCTGTCGAAAACATGCTTAGCAGTGCCTTAGTATATCCTCAGTACAATTCTGCGGCGTTTCCATTGGTTTCTCAGAAAGATAAATGACTTTGAAAATGCGGGGTGCTCCCCTGGGGATCCCCTGGAGATCCCCGGGGGATCACACATAGTACAAATCTAATCAGTTATGCCAGTAACCTGGCATCAATTATGCGCAGGTAGTAGGGTATGAGAACCTTCATAAGCAAGATAGAAAAGGAAGAAGAAAGATACGTAAAGTAGCGAGATATGACGCATCCCCTCTCAGATCCTCTCCCCTCCCCAGCGGGGATGTACGTGCATACGGGCCTAAGTTTCTGCGGGAGTGGAAAGAAACAGACAAGAAAAGGATGGTCAGTCGAAGTGGCGTTTTAAGATAAGGCGCGTATCATTTGGAGAGCATAATGTCTATTTCAATCTCACTTATCTTGCAAAGCGTTTCTGGACGACGAGTTTTGAGCGTTTATAGAGCAAAAATTGAATGCTCAATTAGGATAGGACAGTTGGAGTATTCTTTCTACTTAAAATGGAGCAGTGGTGATTGTCAGGGCCCTGCAACAAATATTCTTAGCTTAGTACCTTTACATATCGCTGACTCATTTAAGCTAAAAAATCTTTATGACTGATTTGATCCTAGTTGCACATTTGATTTTCTCAAATCTTCATAAATCTTCGCACAGAAAATGCAAATAAGGGAGGCAGATTTGGAATCAGCGTTTCACATACTTTAAAAGGGGTTGCATTTCAGGAAGGTGTGCATCTCATTTCGAAAGATCACTTCGAACACATCCTTCCCTTGCGAGAGGGACGAGCCATATCTCGTTACTCTAGATATCCTTCTTCTTCTTCCTCTCTTAAGCTTATGAGATTCCCAGACGATCATCTTATCTTCAAAGTCATTTATCTTCCTAAAAACTCGATGAAAACGCTATAGAATTGCAGTGAGGATACTACGGCGCTGCCGCTAAGCATATTTTCGAGAGGAGAAAGAATCTGAAGATTGTAAATTTTTCAACAATCCGTAGCTCGCGAGCAGTGGTTTACCGTAGTTTTCTACATTGTGAGATTCCATGTATTTCTACGGTAAACATGTTTAGCAGTGCCATCATGACTTATAATAAAGCGCTTAGCGTCTGCCTTTTTGTCCGTGCGTGTGTTGTGTGTGTGTGTTTGTGTGTGTGTCTGTCACGAAATTCATGGAGGGAGCTGCAGCCTAGCTAACGGGCTAGAATTTTGCATTACCCACCGTATGAGCACATAGGCCCACAATGCACGAGGACGAGGCGGCTCGATAAACGGGTCCTTCAAAATTTGCGCGGTCCATTCGGCTTTTGGCGCGCAAAACTAGGTCACAGATTCAACTTTTTGCAAAGTCATAATTTGCCTGCCAAGTAAATCTGCGCTCCAAGAATTTTAGCTCAAAAAATGCTCAAAAAATTAAATTTTTTGTGAGTGATCGCGTAGAAAGTCGATTTGGCAAGGTTTTACCTAAAAAACTGAAAAAATTTTGCATGTGAACGTAGCACAAAGTGACTATTATCTTTATGACAATTATTGAGCCAAACAAATTCAGTAATCTATTCAAAATGCGCATTTGTTTCGCGGCAGAAATGTTTTCTTTCTCAAAATTACCGATCTTACATGGAGATGCTTAAAAAATGAACAATGCTTACAATTCATTTGTGATGTACAGTCTCGCGCGGTGAGTTTCGAAGTCATTATTATGCACGAATAAGGCACACGGAGGTGACGCACTAATATTATTATATCCTCAGCACAATTTTATATCGTTTTCATTAAGTTTATAAGATAAATGACTTTGAAAAAGAGAGGTGATCCCCAAATGATCCCTTAGGGATCAGACGAAATAGTGGAAATCTCAACTTCTATGACTCTGCCATCCATCATACTTAAGTATCATAACTTATAGTAACGGGCTAAGGGTGTTTACGTGTGTGTGTGTGTGTGTGTGTGTGTGTGTGTGTGTGTGTGTGTGTGTGTGTGTGTGTGTGTGTGTGTGTGTGTGTGTGTGTGTGTGTGTGTGTGTGTGTGTGTGTGTGTGTGTGTGTGTGTGTGTGTGTGTGTGTGTGTGTGTGTGTGTGTGTGTGTGTGTGTGTGTGTGTGTGTGTGTGTGTGTGTGTGTGTGTGTGTGTGTGTGTGTGTGTGTGTGTGTGTGTGTGTGTGTGTGTGTGTGTGTGTGTGTGTGTGTGTGTGTGTGTGTGTGTGTGTGTGTGTGTGTGTGTGTGTGTGTGTGTGTGTGTGTGTGTGTGTGTGTGTGTGTGTGTGTGTGTGTGTGTGTGTGTGTGTGTGTGTGTGTGTGTGTGTGTGTGTGTGTGTGTGTGTGTGTGTGTGTGTGTGTGTGTGTGTGTGTGTGTGTGTGTGTGTGTGTGTGTGTGTGTGTGTGTGTGTGTGTGTGTGTGTGTGTGTGTGTGTGTGTGTGTGTGTGTGTGTGTGTGTGTGTGTGTGTGTGTGTGTGTGTGTGTGTGTGTGTGTGTGTGTGTGTGTGTGTGTGTGTGTGTGCGCGTGTGTGTGTGTGTGTGTGTGTGTGTGTGTGTGTGTGTGTGTGTGTGTGTGTGTGTGTGTGTGTGTGTTGTTCGTTACGAAATTCCAGGAGCGTGTTCCAGTCAACGTACGGAGCCCAAATTTTGCATGGCGCATTTCAGCTGCATGAACGTCCGCTATGCGAAGCACGAGCGGATTCGTTGAGTGGATCCCCCAAAAATTGCTTTCAAACGCGCCCACTTGGCTTCTGGCCAGCAAAAATTGGCATGTACCACCACTTTTTGCGAGGCCAGAGATATGATTGACAAACTAATGCCCAAGCGCCGCTCCCCCTTCCTCCTTTCGCTCCCCTGATACCTTGTTCGGACGAGTATTCTCCTCTAGACGACGCGGGACCCCCAACCGCTTTCCCGCATTGTGCATGCTATACAAAGCCAAAATTACAGGCCGCAGGGTCTTCGTGCCAGAGCCTCCCGACTTTCCTTTGAAAATTCTCGTCCAAGCTGCCTTTTGGGAATTGAAAAAATGCCCCGAAAAAGACCTTTTCACCCCTTTTGAAGCTCAGATTCGGGATCTACGGGTCGAGAAGGCCCAAAACATGCAAAAAGATGGAAATGCAAAATCTGCCGGAATGCTGCCTTTAAGTTTATGCTTGTCCTTGCTCAATTAGCGTCTTGCTCCCCTCACAGCCTACAGTAAGCAATGAAACTCACTGAATAAGCCGAGACCTCTATCGTCCCTTCCACATTGCTGCTATCCTTGACCTGCGTCTCTGGCTTGTAACATGTTGGCAACATGCAGGATAGTTGTAAAGAAAGGAAATTTTCATCGAATGAACGGATATCGAATAATTGATTTCCTAAGATTTTTCGAACAAATGAATATCAAAGTTAATTTTCGAAAAAATTTCCAACAAACTATTATTTGATTCCCAATTTTCATATTATTCGAATTCAAATAATCGAATATGGACACATTCCAAAATTCAAACTTCGATGTTCGAATAACCGAACTTATTTGAAAATTCGACTATTATTCGAATAAACGTATAACTGGATATCATCGAATGAAGGCAATGTTCGAATAGTGGAGTATTCGAACGAGTGTTTTCCAAACTTCTCCAATCTTCGAATATTTAAATAATTGTTTATTAAAACTTCTCGAATAGTCCAATATTCGATTTAGTTATTATTCCGTGTCGTCAAATGAACGAATTACTCGAATAAAGAGACCATTTTCATTTATTCGACTACTCGAATGATCGAATAATGACTTTTTCGAATATCCGGCTATTTTAATATTTAGTTGATTACGAATAAATTATTCGAATATAATATGCAGCGAAATGTCGGCGAAATGCAAGAAAATATTGACAATATTTTGGCTGTTGAGCTTAACACCAACATGTTGTTGCATGTTGCCAACATGTTAGCCACGCGTGGTGCAGGTCAAAAACGCAGACTTAGGGCAGCAGCAACTGTGGAAGGGGGCGATACAATTAAAATGCGATATTTGTTTCAAATATCTTCCAAAAGAGATTGGCTGATTGAGTGAAAAAAATTGGAAGCAAATAAAATATTTTAGCTAGCTACTACACTCAAAATTGCTTAGTATATATGACGAAAATGTGATCGATGCAAGCTGCATATTCTGAAAAAATACTGAAATCTGCTAAATGCCAAACTCGGAGAAATCGATGTTTGACTATTAGTTTGTGGCAGGTTTTGGCGGAAAATAGAGTTTCTTGCCACTTCTTGAGTTGGGACGTGGTCACGGGCTTTGCATGTCAAACAGATGCAAAATGCAAAAAGTGGCATAGCGAGCCCAAGTTCAGCATCCAAAAGATGTGTGGACCCTGGCGAAAGCTTCGAAGACTGCGCCTATCGTATTGGCCTGTGTTTTTGGACCTACGCAAATCTACGTGCTGATAAAGAGTTTTGACCAAGATAGTTTAGACGCTTTGCTAGAATCTGCTCTATGAGTGTCGTTACAGACAGTCAGGCAACAACACAAAAATAGTAAACAATTCTTAGCCCAGTTTTATTAATTGGAGGATTACCGTCCAGAGCAAGAGCATACGTCAGTACGGCTAAGCTCCCGCATCCAAAAAACAAACAAACAATAACTATGTCATACTCAAATGTTTAGTCTACCGTTGTTGTGCCGAGTTCTATTTGGCACAACTAGCTGTCGCAGCCCATGAACTTCCACCTGTGGTCCATGGTAGACCTCGCATATCCGATTCACTTGTGCATCGATTTAGCACGCTCATGCAAAAACACCGTCCATCTAGATTCTCGACTTCTATGCTCTTTTGTTCCAAGGCCTTCTCATGTCCCTGATTCCGCATATGATGTCGAGAATCAGCGAAAACCTCGACTATCCCCCTTCCGGAGAACCGGCAGAGTGGGTCCCCTGAACGGTGATTGGAAATGTGACCACGGGTGGGCGGGCATTTTGAGAGGGGGCGTTGCCCCCTAGGGGTACTCTGCTCTCTTCGTTGTTTCGAAGCGATTTTCCCGTTCTCGTAAAGACATTTTGCGCCGCAACTTGGGCGTTGGCTTGATAGGGAGCCCTACTTTCGTATTTGGAGAAAAGCGCAAAACCTTTAATTTAGGCTGGACGGTGCCTTTAATAGCACGTTCGATGATGTAGATTGCATATTTGTACTAAAGAAGAAAAGCCAAAGCTCGTCATCTTTAATACCTCTTCAGTCGTCTTCCCGTCTTCTTTCTCTTGCACCGCTCATTAAATTCCTCAATTCAAGCAGATATAGAAAAAGCTGCAAGTGGGTGATGGTAGTTTGCCATAAAGAAATTCTAAAATTTTCTAGATTCCATGTATCGTTATGTTTGACCTTAAAACAGACTTTTCTTATATCGCCACACTGACCCAGCATTTAGCGATATTCACTCATTTCGGAAAGATATCGTCCGTGAAGCAAAAATAACGCAACTACCGGTCACACTTTCATTCCCATATAATCTCGTTTTGTGCAAAAGACGATTTGGGGGCGGGTGCCTTTGTTCCGTGCACTTCTCCTCGTATCAATGTTGTCCTTATTGAATAAGTGATGCTTATTGAAGTCGCTAAATGGCTCGAACCATATTTCGTATGCGTGAACCTCTATTTAAGAATGCATAGCATTTTGAAATTCGTCACTTACAGTTAAATTTTCAATCTAGTTTCGAGCAAATACGGTACATACTGCTACTGCTAGCTTAGCACACTGTACTAAGTTCTGGCCAATGGAGTACTGCAGACGGGCGCGGAGCTAATTTATAGGCTAAGTAGATGCGCATTTCTAACCTGAATTGCACGCGGTTGGGAATTCTGATACAAAGGAAGACTTATAAATCTTTGAAGATATAGCCATTTTACAAGCAAAACAATGTTTCAGTTGGTTTCACGGCGCTTTATCCTATTTTATTTTTCACTACTCTAACAATCGCTTCAGAAGAAGAAAGCGGAGTGAAGGTTTTCTGATTATAAAGTGAAGGTATTTGGTTAGTATAGTTTTTGCAGGAATATCTGATAGTCATGGGATTCAGAAGGGAGTTGCTCTCTTTATCAAGTGTCATCTTCGCATTTCTTAAAGCTTTCAGCGTTATGATTCTTTTTGGAGCAGTATCGTTTAGAAACTTTCTTGTATATTCATTTCAATCTTTTTAGAGATTGAAAAAGGACTGCAACTTTTAGGACATGCTACCTACAGTGTTCCCAACGTTGCTGCTGTGCATTAGTGCGGCTGCAATGGGATTACTATGCGCGAGAGTAGTGAAGACAACTACTGCTGCAATGATAGGTATGTCATTATGGACTAGACGAAGCCAAGCCTTTGCTCTACTTCTAACTATATTCAGTGGTTTCCTTGGTTCTCGCGATGCTGTATCTCGTACATCTTATCTCGGCAAATATTTTTGAGAGGAATTGTTTGCATTACATTTACCTTTTCAATATTTTTACAGCATACGAGAACTGTCTATCCGCTATGCGGCTTTATTATGTCCGAGGTTACATTGCTTTTTACTTTAGAGTAAATACGGGCGAAAAACCTGAATAAAGTCCCAATCAATTCTGACTAACTGACTTCTTTATAAAGCAAAAATTGAGACATTGCTTTAGCTGCATTAGATCAACCTTTATTTCTTAGAACTGCAAATAAAACAAGGTTTAAAACAACGATATCTCTGCTAGTCGCTAGCTGCCAGCTTGTCGCGAGCGCAGATCAGGCCACATTCACTCTTTCAAGAGCGGAGAAGAAATAACTGGGCTGCATATTAGCAATGAATCTCATTTCCTACATCACTCATAGAGATAAGAGATACATATCATGCATCCTCCAGAATTGTTCTTATATGAATCACCAACGTGGTTGTCTTTCAATCATTTTAATCCAATAATTCCAGCAAATATGAGGCGCTCTTTCGAAGTTGACATGTTAAAATGATTGAAAGACAGTAACGTTATCTTGGCATATACTCCAGGTGAAAACATTCGCTTAAACCTGTTTGCTTCTAACAGAATGAAGCAAAAATATTTGGCTGAACATCTGGACAGCCATCAAATATGGTAACATGGTGCTGTCGATATTGCCGAAGCAAAGAGGATAAAATCGCAGCGTTTGTTCATAGTTATGAGAGGTTGTAATTTGTAGATGCAAGATGAGCTTTTGTAGTTCGCAATAATGGATATTGAGGACTTTTACCGCAATATGCATTTTATAAAAACGATGATTCTGGCTTTCGATTTAGTTACAAATATAGGTTAAAAACCGAAAGCTCTGTCGCTTTTCACACAGGTGCGATAGAAGGAGCAGCCTCGCCAGATAAAGGGGGTTTCAGTTATTTTACCTAGAAAAGTGAGGGGGGGGGGTAACTGAGTAACTAAGCCTTGAGGTAAATCCCGACGTAAGCTTACATGCCGAGGGGGAATGGATGTGCAAAGAGGGAAAACAAGTGGTACAGAGGCAATTCGAGAAGTTTTTTAATGCTTTGGATTTGAAGGATTATCGAGCACGGAGCTTGACACGAGGTAGGCAAATGACAAGCTGAAATCGTTGGGGTGAAAAAAAAGCGATGGATATGTCGTTTTTGCAGGCCTCGGGCTGCGCTCCGGAAAAAAATTATAGTTGAGATGGCAAATCATCTGTATCTCCCAAATAGATTTCGCGTCAATTCGCGCGTCGCTGACTGCCGCAAGTTAGCAAACATACATGACTATTTTTCAATGTATGCGTAAAGGTATGGCACCAGATTGCATGAATGAACGAACATAGGCGGCGACAAGATGTGAAATATTATGAAAAACTTATGTGGTTGGATAGTGCATTAAACTTGTTTCCTAATCTAATTAGCAAGTGGAGATGTAAATTAAAATGGCTCGTTTGCAAGGCACAGGCGACGACATGATAAGTTTGCACATACATCGACACGGGCCCTAGGAATAATTGAAAAGTTCCATGGAAAAATTATGTGATTGAAAATTTTGGCAAGCTATTTTCTGAAAATTTCCACCACCACCACCAGAGAATGACAAAGTGGTTGGTTTGCAACGTAACGATGGCGATATGGCGTGAAATTTGGTCTGGGTATCCTTGGCGGGATCAAGGAAATAAGTATGAAAAATTATGAAAATTTTTGTAAATATAAAAAGCATGCTTAGCTTTTTCTCAAATTAGATGGGCAATGCCCACCTAATGCACACGCTAAGTAGGTAAAATTCTTATTTCACGTAAGTTTTTCGAAACTTTCACGTAAATCTGTTTTACACCTAAAGAGAATATTTTTATTTTTGGTCCCAAACCTTTTCTTCTCCTTCTTGGGACCCGGAATAGCAACGTCGCCGGGCCTTTCGGGGAAGAAAGTGCGCTCCAATCGAACAGCCTATGCAGCTGGCGCAAGTGAGAAATTGTGAAAATCGATAGTGGCAAAGGCGATGTCGTTTCACCGACGTTCATTTGCCACTATTTTCCTTCTACTGGTCCTGGTCGAGCAGAGACTTTGATTCAGGAGACTTTGCGTCTCATCAATTTTTCTGGAATTTGAAGCTGTTTAGATTTGACTTTGAAAGGACCTAATTTTACGCGATTATCTGAGAGCCACCTTCTCAGAGAATCACCGGGGGTATAGGCGGCCATGCATTCATGGGCATGTGGGCAAGAGAAAATAGTTCGCTGATTTCCGGTCCGCTTGCAAATAATAGGAATGTTAGGTATTTTTCAGGCGAACGTGTAGGATTATGCATAGATTAGTTGCGGCGCAGTGACCGCATTCTCGTGGACTTTCCGCGAGATTATGCAAAAATGTGAGGGTCGCACGGTCCTTTGTGAAAAACGGCGCAGTTCGTAGGTACCTACCGCTGAGAAAAAGGTACCCCAAACTCGGGTAATTAGACCATCGATGACTGCTCGGCCACAAAGAATCTCACCTTCACTCGGCGTACGCCAGAAACTGCGGAAAGAGAGTCGAACGCCTGCCGAAAGTTTGGCCAGCGCACGTTGAACGAAATTATTTGACGACCGCTCACAGAAAATTCTGTATCACTGCCCGCTGGTAGAACGCGGAAGTACCGCTCGCTGAAGGTTTGGCTGCTCCTCGATATTTTGCTAATCGTTTGCAGAAAAGCGCGAGTTTGCGGACCGCTGCCCTGGCGATTATCTGAGTTGTAAAGTTTGCTCTATCAATTGGTACTCCATCTAAAGCTCTGTCGCATCACATTCTAAATTGTGATGCGACAGAGTTTTCGATTTACCTAGTAGACTAGTGATGAACTTTGTACCAAGTCTTCATAACCATCAACATATAGGATTAGACATGAGAATTTGCAACACAAAAGATAATGGAAAGGTTATAAAAACCCTTGTGCGCTTTTCAAGGGGTTTAGATGTTTAGAGTACTTGGTGAGAGAAATTACTAAACATTCCCAAAGGATAGATTTTCAGGGTGGGAAAGCCGTATAACGTGTAGGCGAACTGCAAGAAAAGCCTTAAGCATCGTTTGTTGAACTTTGCACTTGATGCAGCTTTTCATCCTCTTTCAAATAATCAAGCACACGTTATAGTTTAACCAACGAATTTTCAGAAAATAGCCGAAGTCTGCAGTCCGTGCTTTCTCCACAGTCAAAATTTCGAGTTTTTCTAAATTTTTATGCTACTACCACTTTCTCTATTACTTTTCTGCACTTTGCAAGTCATTGTTGGAAAATTGCTGACAATTAGTATTGAATAAATGATAGGCGATTGCGTTTAGACCTCAAACTTTTCAGTGTCGAAACTTAACAAATGATTATTTGTATCCCAATTGTGCGATAACTTCAAACTTAATTCGCCTCAAAAACACATTTTTGTAGGTATCGGATTGTCAAGTTACGAGCCATGTTGCTTCGTCTTTCAATCTTGCTAAAGATAAACGAGACCCTGCAAAGCTGGACCCATGGGGCTCTCACGTGGAAAGTAATCTTGAGGCCCTAGATAAGACTCTGCTCAAACGGCAGTTCAGATAGTGCACTCACGGCTAAGATATTGGGCCTCAAACTATGCCACGTGATCGTATTCGGAAGGATTCGTGGCGTTTTCGCGCGAGGATTCACGCGAAACTGATGTGCCGAGCCATGAATTAGTGCGAATACGGTCACGGGGCATAGCCCAATATCTTAGCCGTGGGTGCATTATCTAAACTGCCACTTGGGAAGAGTCTTATTTAGGGCCTCAAGATTGATTTTCATGTGTGGAAGCCCCATAGGTCCAGATTTGCCTGGACGCTGCCTTTAAGTTGTCCATTCAACAAAACATGCATTTACTGCTGGAGAGAAACTTAGATACCAATTGAAGAGGATATAGATTGTTATCAAATTTCCATGTTCAAACTTACAATGTCATAAGAAGGTTTGAATTGTTTGTCAACGTAGTTTGCGGACACATGGTATTCAACAATTACTGGCAACGAGTAATTTTCTGCCCAAAAATGTACTACTGCTCAAAACGATAACATTGCGACAAGTAAGGGGATACCAAAATTTCGATTTTTCGAATCGCTTCTGAAATTTCAAAACTATGAGCAAATACTAACCTTCGAAAGGCGACATCTGTCAATTATATATCAGGAGTAAAAAACATCTACGACAATCTATTCGTTTATGATGATGTTATCAATGTGGGAACGTCTTTCATATACCTGTTCTTCGCCTCAGCAGTAATGATCTTACTGGCCATCCTCATGGATTTCGTGATGCATACGCGTAATGTTCCTTGTTGCGACAGAATGCTCCAACACAATGAAAGCGTGAGTATACTAAATCAATTTTGCAACTGATTGAATATCAATGCAGTATCAAGGTCCCCAATGATACCAGAACTTATCGCGAATCTTGGCACGAAAAGATTGCGTCAACAGCTGAACCTGTGTTGTCAGTGGAATCTGTGAGCAAAGTCTGGAGAAACACTGGCGAAATTGCTGTGAACAACGTCACTTTGAAAGCTTACGGCGAACAGGTAAACTGTTCAATCTTTTCACGATTATCATGGCAACGAGCATTTTGACAAGATGGAATTTGGGAAAGTACATAATGTAATACTTGGGATTTAGGCAGTATTATTGAGCATCTGACAAATATAATAATACAAAGCTCAGAGCAATTGGAACCGACTTAAGCTGGATATCGTCTTTGAGTAGAAAAGCAAAGAGGATATTGTTTTTACGGGCTAATATGCCGTTTTTTGTTGCATGCACATTACCCGCACAGGGTCCGGCATGAGGTGGGCAGATGTTAAGCTGGAGGTCGTTTTGGATGGAAAGCAGGTGGGATATCTTAAATTATGTTTACATATGCATACACCCTTTCGACAAGTTGCTGCACGATTTACATGCGAAAACACTATTTTGCCGCGCTTCATCTTCGAGTATCCAAATTTTTTTATCAAGTTGTAATTAGATGTCTCAATTACAGCGCACACAGAACGGTACGCCTAAGAATTGGAAATACGGACATGGACTAGGATGAGCATAGTGCAGAGTACTGTTGAAAAATTATGTGCCTGAATATTGTGGCAAGCTTTTTTTTGTAAATTTGTACATGACAGAATGACAAAATGGTTCGTTTGCAATGCACAAATTGACGGCACCGTCGGCCCCGTTGTGTGTGTGTGCGCAGTTGGACTAAGGAACAAAGTTTGAAAGACTATGAAAAACTTATGTGAATAAAGGAGTGCTTAACTTTTTTCCAAATTAAGTGGGCCCACCTAATGTTGACCTGAGGTAGACAAAACTTCCATTTCACATAAGTTTTTCAAAATTTTTACACAAATCTGTACTACACCTGAAATTTGGTTTACAGTGATTATTTTGGTTCCAAAAACTCTTCCTCTCCTTCTTGTTAGGATCCGGAATAGCAAGAACAGCGGTCCTTTTCGGGAAGAAAGCGCGCTCTAGTCGAACAACCACGCGCTGCCAGAATCGAGTGGTATATCGAAAAAATCGGTAGTGGCAAAGGTGAAGTCGTTTTACTGATGTCCATTTGCCACACCCATGCTGGGCCCCGTACGCGCATACCGTCCATTATAGTTAGCACCGAATAATTTTCTTCGTATTCGAATGGTTAACTCGAACTAGAGAAGTCGAATATTCAGGAAAGCGCACTTATTCTATTACTCGAATAGGCGAGTAAATGAAAAACACTTTTATTCGAATGTTTGTTTATTCGACGAATCGGATAAACAACTTATTCGAAATTTTATTCGAAAATTCGAATATTCGAATAATTTTCGAATAAATTGGTTATTCGATTCTTCGAATAAACAAACACTCGAATAAAAGTGTTTTTCATTTACTCCCTATTCGAGTAATAAAATAAGTGCGTTTTCCTGAATATTCGACTTCTCTAGTTCGAGTAAACCATTCGAATACGAATATTCGAAAATTATTCGGTGCTAACTATACCGTCCATAAACAAAATTCTTGTTTGCAATCAAAACGCGATGATGACACCAAATTTGGTGTGCACGTGCATGCAGGGGACTCCAACTATAACCTAAAAATTAATGAAGCTCTTTTTATATTTTATCTTATTTTATAAGTAAGAACAGGGTGCAACAAGAGCAAAAAGCATCAGAAAGAAGTTTAAACCGCGCACGAGGTCAGTCAAGTCCTCAGCCTTTGAAAAAAAATAGATGGTAAATAACAAGACGCAAAGCTCCAGACCCATTGAAAATAAAAAAGTGTGTTTAGACATATAATCTCAAAAATCTTGCGCCTTTGAAGCCAACAATGAATCCAATTTTGAGTGCCAGCGAGCGGCCCGGTAAAAGCTAGCTGACCAGTAATTAGTTGTAAAGGATAGCGAGTATTGGAATCTGAGTGGTGGATGTAGACACCTGCCAACTATGTTTGAATGAACCACGAATAAGCTAATCAAGGGGTCTAACGATAACTAAGCAACAATAAGGTGATTAATTGTTGCGTGAAAATTGCAGTTGATTGAGAACGGCTGGTAAGAAAAGTTGGTGAAGGCATGATTATGGTTAGCAACAAAAGAGAAAAAGAAACAGAAACTGCAGATAATGGGCGTAAACAAAAGAGAAAAAGGCTCGTCAAATATTAGGTTGGTTTGAGGGTTCTCGGACATTTTCGGACTAAATCTGCTATTTTTTAAAACCTAATGCATGTACATCCGATAGAGAAACCATTCGATAGAGCAAGGCAAGCTCTACAAGCGTTATACAAAAGTTGCACCAGCTTCGAATCACCTTAAATTTGAATTTGGAATGTGAGTCGCTTTGAAGGCTTGAAAAATTGGGAAAAAATTGTATCTTCATCCAAAAAAATCTCACGGATCTCCAACTTGTCCACGCAAACTGCACACTATATCAAACACTCGTGTGTACCGTTCCTGTATTATTTCTCATCTAGAAATCCAGGAAACAAAAGTTCTCATGTTTATACAAAAACGAAGATACGCTGTTTCCACCAATGTAGTTTTATAGTACAAATTACGTGGGTGAAAACAGCACAGTTTCATTTTTTATATAAGCATGAAAATTATCGTTTTCTCGATTTCTAGATGAGGAAAAGATTTAGGAACGGTGCATATGAATGTCTGATGAGGTGCGCAATTTGCATAAGCAAGTATGTACCGTTCCTGAATCTTTTCCTCGTCTAGAAATCGAGAAAACGATAATTTTCATGCTTATATAAAAAAATGAAACTGTGCTTTTCAATTTTTCGAGCCTTCACTGCGAGTCAAAGTTTGGATCAAATCTACCGTGGATCGAAGCTGGTGCGAACTTCTGCATACCACCTTGTAGAGCTTCCTTTGCCCTATCGAATGGTCATCGGATGTAACCTTTAGTCATTTGTTACTTAATATGTGAGACTGCACACTGTGCCCTATTAGCGACGGCACCCTTGCTAGTAACTTTTCAATGAAATATGTTCTAGCCTAAAAAAGTGTTGAAATGTGTTCTACTGGCTAACATATGATCAACAAAAACAAAACAGACAAGCAAAGTGGAATTACTGGAAAGGAGCAGGTTTTAGTTTGGGTTCGTCAGTCAGCGTGTACAGTGTGTGCACTACGCATATTAAGTTACAAATGACTCGACGGTATATACATCAAGTTTTGAGAAATAGAAGATCTAGTCTGAAAATGTTCGAGAACTTTTAAGCCAATCTAATAGTGATCGATGAGGTAGGACGGTATGTAAGCAATACGCAGCAAAGGCAACACAACGCAGCATCATCGGTAGGACCAAAGTAGCGCAAACACCACAAATGAATTGAAAAAAACTAACAACAAAGAAAGCACTAGACATTAAACTTTGAGTTCCAACCTAGCATGGGATCGCATGTCTTGAAAAAGTATTCACCTGACAAGCAGAACTCATCGATAAAAAAATGGAGAAGACAGGAAAAGAGGGAAGGAGAGGGGCCATAAATGAAAAGCCATAAAACGAAAAGCGCCCATCAAAAGCCAGTCAGGCGGTCTCTAAGATATAACATCCAGATTTGAAAAGAAACAAACAAATGAAAAGCCATAGTCAAGTAGTCATCTTCCATATGGCATAAGCGCAAGCTCATAGACATGCAAATCTGAAATCAAGAAACAGGTGCGGGAGGTTCGGACGCCACGCACCGTTAATTAGAATCAGCAACATCTGGCAAATCAATTATTTCCGGTCTTCATTTGGAGACAGAACCACAGGCTGCATTAGTAATCCTGGCAAAGAGGTGCGGATCTACCTAACACTCTGTAAACACGTTATTGAACATTCGTAAAGAGTACATTCGTAAAGCCTGGGATAATGCAAGTTGAAGAATCCAGATCTTTCGATAATAGTTGCACTTTTTACTTTTGGCTTTATTTTCTAAAAACTTGGATGCAAAACACAAGGTCCAAAGACACATATTTCGATGGATGGATGTTTTCGAATGAAACTTAACAAGGCGAGCATCGTAATCAGGTGGAGGTTCCAGGTAACGAGCCCCTGCACAGAAGGCTTGTAAGCAGAAAATGCGCATAATTGCTGCATCTTCTCAATTCTTTTCATATCTTTCTTTCGGGATGGCGACCACACTTACGAACAGGACACCAAATGAGAAAGCACAGAAACCTTGCAGGGCCGGATCAAAATAATCTGAATTTGTGCTTGTGTTACAAAATAGCAGGAAAGGGAAGAGTAAGCTTCGCAAATTGCCATATAAATACGTCTCAAAAAGTTGAGAGAGTTATCCATTAAGGCTCCCTAGTCCATAACAACATCACACACTTCAATATGTGCTTTTTAAGGCAGTAAGAGCACCGGGCATTTCCGAGATGAAGGTGAACATTTAGATTGATTGATGGTCAAGTCCCAAAGGTCAGCCCACCTCTGTAGTTTATTAAGAGACCTCTGCAAGGAACCGAACCTCCAAGCATCGTTACCATCAGAAGCTCCGTATAGCTATCGTCCGCATTATCGGATAGTTGCTTACCCGGCTCCTCTCGGCTTTGTCAAAACACTGTAATAAAGGTCCCATCCCTATCCCTGTGAAGCGTTTCCCTGTGCCCACTTCTACACTTCATTTCCCGTTCCCTATGTTGTTTTTGAAATCAGCATGCCCACTTACCCCTTTGTGCCACTCCCAGTCCTTCAGCTCAGTTTTTAGAAAAATCGACAAAATCGATAAAAGTAATGGTAATTCCAGAAACTAATATTGTATATCCCCCTGCGCCGACTCCCAGCCCTTCAGCTCAAATTAAATCGATAAAATCGTCAAAAGTAATAGGTAATTCCAGAAACTAATAATGTATTCGGAATCGCCATGCTCTTTTACCCCTCCCCCCTGTGCCAACTCCCAGCCCTATAGCTCAAACATTGCAAAAAATCGATAATATCGATAAGAGTAGCAGATGATTTCAGAAACTTATATTGTATTCGTAAGCAGCATGCTCGATTACCCCCTGTGCCTACCTCCAGTCCCGTAGCTTGAACTTTGCAAAAAATCGATAAAACGATGAAAGTAGCGGATGGTTTCACAACTGATATTATATTTGGAATCGCCTGCT